TGCTCCTGGAATGCAGCTAAGAGGGGCTGAAACTATTCACAATATCTTGTAGGTGTCACAGCCAGTACTGGAGTCTTTCTGCCTATTACCTGATGCGTACGTGGGAAAGACTCTTTCCAGGTCCTTTTGCATTGGCACTTTTGTTCGTGGATAGATAACAAATTTTGTTGTTGCAAGAAGAATATAACAAGAGATATCTCATGCTCACTTACACCAGATTGCTATTGTCAATCCTGAGGTATTATGATCCACTCCCATGGGATGCTCTCTAGCATTATTATAGTATTATGTTTTTTCTTTATTATAATACTTTTCACACCATTTTTATTACTTGCCTATATGACCTCTTTCCAAGTAAAATAGCTGGTGTGGGGGAGTAAAACCTGTGTCTACATTGCTGCTCTGTATATCCCCCCCCTTGTACCGTGCTAGTCACTTTAAAATTAGTTTTTGAATTAATGTCTGATACTTTTTTGTGTGTTGAATAATGAAGGCCTTAATTTAACTGACCCTAGTTCCAAAGTCTCTGAAGTATACTACTTTATTTTGTAATAATAGTGACATTGAAATTCTTGAAATAGTATGAGTTTCTAATTGGCAGATCACTTTACCCAGATTCCCATATCTCTCTCATTGTGATCAGACCTTCTGAATGAAGAACACATAATCACTCCTACTGAAAATGCAAAGTAGAACAAACATGAATAGTTTTACCTTAGGCAGAGGCTTAGCAGGTTTGCAGTGGAGGCCTCCAACAAATTGAAAATGTGGCAAGAGTGGGCGAGGGAATTCAAAATCCCAATAGGTTCGAATAAGCCACATTTCTGCTTTTCTCATTAACTCAAATAATGTAGTGGGTCTTCCTGAAAGGGAAAAAAAACAAAAAGTAGAAAAAATAAGAATATTGTAATGTGAATATACCATGTTGTTTTCTTAAAGAAAAAAAAAGAAAAGCTTGGAATATTGTAGCCAAAGATATTTAAAGTGTCGGTGATTTGATAGAGCAAACATCTATCTAATCTAATAAAAGAGATACATGCAAATTGACTGCCCCTCTGCTATGCCCCAAGCCAAGCCCCCCAGCCAATCAGTGTGACTATAACCCAACCAAGCAAACTAACCCAACCAAGATA